ATTATTTTATGAAAGTGTTCATCTCCTAAACTAATGGGTCAGCGATAGCTGTCCTGAGGCAAAGCTAAGCCTTAGAGGCTTTGTTAGACCCCTCTCCAATGGCACCACCCATTGCTCTACCTAGAGACGGTGTATTAGACTGACGGGTATCTTTAGTGTCTGGCCACCCAAGAGATGGGTGGGAACGGCTAGGGTTTCATATTTATATATTATCTATACTATATACAGGATTATACAGGGTCATTGCTGCAGCTAATTACTCCTACTCTATGGGCACATCGTGATGGAAAGATACAGTACGCTGCGTCACCACCGAGCAACCGCATCACAGCCAAGAACAACGGGTGACGGGCTCTTCGCACCGGTCGACGCGACGCGACGGTATTGAGCGCTCCGAGCTTTCGGAGCTCTGGAGGTCCAACCTGAGTGAGGTGGACCAGGGAAGGTTCCCCAGTTGACGGAGGAATGGAGATGGATGGATCAGAAAACCAAACACATCCAAACACCAGGAAAGAACAAAGCCAGATCATCTACTATACTGTAATTGATTGAGACGGAAAGAATACGAGGGGGGTTCCTCATGGTCTTGTGGAAGCTTTCAGAACTGGGGGATGGGTTCAAAGGGGTTAAAGGAGTTTCATCCCACAACCAAAGCGCAGGAAAAACAGATCCCTTCACCAGGGTCTCAGCTTGAGGGCGGCATTGATGATACGTTCATGTCCAGCTTGAAGTTTCTAAAGACCAGCTTGGGCAAGCTTGCAAGTGGTCAGCTTGGGCCAGCAGCCACACGTCTTTCATTCAGAGCGAACAGGTGAAGAGTGGAAGTGGGTATTAGAATGGGAAGACCTCCCAAAGACATCCTGGAAGAAGAGGAAACAGACCAAAACACCCATCGCTTGGGGGTCTCCATGATTTGATTCGGAAAGTCAGGGTGGCGACACTGACTGCCCTTGTTCTCCATGGACCAACCGCATGAGGCGGACCAAGCGCTGCAAGCGTTTGATTGTCTTCCTCTGGTTTTCCGCCAAACCAACGAGTTGGAAGCGGGTTGCCGCCAGCATGAGATCAAACCCTTTGGCACCCAGCCTGGTAGTTTTCCACCTGGCCACTCAAGGCTTGGGTCCTCTTTTGACCGTTTTCCCAACATACCAGTAACCAATCACCCAATGCACCTACACGCGACTCTCTTACAATGGCATGGGTGGCTTTCTCGAAGCTGGCCAATCGTGACCGGGTGCCGCGAGAATCTCAGAATGAAGAGCACCTTGTGCATCTAGTTTGCAGCACCAATCAGTGGTTCGAAAGAATCAAACCCTGATCATATTAGTCTGTTTTTGTTGAATTCAACGGAGAGAGTTCGGATTTACTTTTCAGTGGAAAGAACACGGTTACGCCACCTGTTCAGCTTGACCGCCCAGTAGCCACCAAGTCAGCCAATCGAGGTCCGAAAGCAGCTCAAGGCAAGACTTCCACGCTCTAAGCAGCTTAGGTCCCCCATTTTGTGCCATCCTGTCAGCATGTGTCAACCTCTTGCACGCTCCGCTCCGCTCCCCTGCGCAGAATGGTCCCTTGAGCCCCCCTGCTCTTCAGCCTAGCTGGCATGGAGAGCAACAAACCCTACGAAGACCATCTCACAGGTGCTTGCCCCCAAAATCCTTTCTTTATCAAAACAGGTGTCGTGTCTGGGCTCTTTTTGTACAACTACCTTCCTGCTACCTTTCCCCAGATGAAAACGGAAAAGAATCCAACATTCAATTCTCCAGCAACGGGGGATCGGTGGAACAAAGGACTGTGACTACTTCTATCTCCAAATAGATAGAAAAGTAGAGCCCCACTAAAGATGTATTGGAAATCGTTTCCTATTTGGGGATCGCAAAAAAATATGTGTAGAGAGATACAGAGAAAGAGAGAGAGAGAGGGAGAGAAAAAAAAATAGAGAGACGGAAAAAATGGCCACATTACAGGAGCGATGTTCGATCATCCCTCGACGACAATGAGGTTTCGGCAACAAAGTATGTGTTTTTGAAGAGACCCAAAGTCTCCTGTCTATCAGGGAAGGTCGACTACGCCGCCTTGATTGGAAGTTGGAGGGCTTCCTGTTTCACAGGCTTGAACATTCCTGGCCTCAGGCTTGAAACGTGGATGCATCTCGTGAAAACCCAACCAATCCTCAGCATTTCTGCAACCAACACCTTGTCCTGCCACCGACGTCACAACTGGGTCACCCGAACAATGCTTGGCTCCTGCGTCCGCTCGGCAGTGGGCACGGTGGGGAACCATTCTGAAGGCTTGGGCATTTGCCGAGAAGAAGAACAAACAAGTGTCCTCCCATCTGAGAACCAGGATGGAAGTCTTCCAACTGGTTTGGGGTTCGTTTCTGGCATGCTTTTCCCTCGAACATCAGCCCAAAACACGAGCGTTCAACTGGGAGGGCATGGCACTGTCTGCCGAAACACAAATCAACAAGTTTCAGTATCGAAATATCCGGTGTGGGGCCATTGCTCGGGCGGTTTGGATGATGAAATTGGCCTTCCACTGGTCTACATGTTTCACCATCAATGGCAGTAGCACCCACTCATCTAACTGCTGGATCCCAAAAAAAGAAGGAGAAAGAACGACATGACATGACCGTAAAATACGTAAAAGGATGTCTTTCTTCAACAGATTCGCTTTGACATCGCAACCCAACGATCGGACCAAGGATCTTCTGTCGGTCCCCTCCTTGTCCAACTCCCCTGGCGGCTCATCCAATGGCCTGGAGGCGTCCCACAACGCCATACGGAGTGGGTTCGGCTGAAATGTTCTACATGATTGTCATCAGGCTCTAGGTCTGGTTTTTGTTGTGGGTTTCAGGTTGGCTGTGTCTGGTCAACAGCACAAAGCGGGAGGGATCCCTCAATGCAAATGGGGCGGCAGGCATGCCTTGATCGCGGTCCATGCAAGACCAATCTCCACCTTTATTTTGGAATGGAGTCTTTCTTGGAAAGTGAACTAGGTACCCACACCACGTCTACCATGCAACCTCCAAATCTCCGCGTCCCAAACCTCGCACATCTGGGCTCCGCACGCCGCGATCGCGATGCCACCGAGCCTGGCGAGGGCCTAGTCCCATTGTTGCTTTGTTGCTAACCAATACAGATTACAGTCAAGCGGTTGCTTAAGAACACCCACCTTCCACCAAGCACATGCCGGGACGACTGCACAAAGGGTTCCGGCTCATCTTCCCCTGACAATCGGACGTGCAGGCGGTGGTCTATCGGTAAAACCCTGCTGACAATACTTGATGAGCGTAAGATAATGAAAATCTGCAGTATGCAATGCTCTTACGTTCTCGCCGGACAGGCGGCCCCTGCATCCCCCGCAGCGTTGGGCATGGGCACGTGGCGAATCGCTGCGGTTGACTATGTCCACTGAGGAGGAGGAACGCTTCTGGGGGCCCTTCCGATTGGAGTCTTACCCACCCAACCAATTCCTAAGTGAACGGGAGGAATGTCTCTTTTTGGTAAGTGCCAACTCAGATTGCCTCGGTGGTCCGTCGTCGTGTTGGTCCAAAAATGCCGCCGGACGCCGGACCCAGGGCCTCCGACATCGATGGGTCAGACTCTGACCCTCCTTTCGCATCCTTTTCTGGCCGTTCGCTGCTGGCAGCGCTAAGGCAATGTCTTTCCTTCGCAACATTTAAAGTGGACCGTGCCTTCAGCCACTGATACTGTCCTTGAATAGGTGTGTCCAAAACGTGTCAACCCTTGACGACTGCAGGGGGGGCTGGGGCTTGTTGGTTGGTAAAAGCAAAAGGGTGCCACTTCGTTCTTGGCCACATGGTGCTGCAATCTCCTGTCCTTTCTGCTTCTACCAAGCCAACCTGTAATCTTGTGCACAAACAGAACACAGCAAGTAGGAGCAAGGACGCTACTAGGGGCTCCTGGCATCGCTACTAGGAGCAAGGACGCTACGAACGGGGATCACGGTTCCTATATAGATTTTTGCCTTGGTAAGTTGGGACTGAAGGCACCGGCCTTGGGGGCCTCTGGATTTCTCCGAGCAATCATGTCATGTGCCCCGATCATGTCGAGCGATGGTCATTCAGAGGAGAAGGACCAGAAGAGGCAACTCCCTGTATCAATGTTCATGGGGGGTCTGTGAAAATGCATTGCTCATAGGCTCATATTCAGCAAGTGCAATCAACATAGGTGAGAGCTGTGAAGGATCTTGATTGATCTACTGATTTTGGATGGCCAAATGACTGAACATGTGGACTTGCCCTCTAGAAACATGGTAACACGCCCCCACGGCCGTGTGTTTGGGACATGTGTTGTTTAAAAAACAAACATGTTTTTTGGTCGTAATTGAAAAAGGTCATTTGATGCCAATGACGAGGAAACGTGATTTCCACACACCAAGTGGGAGGAAATCACTTTTTTTTTAAGCGTGTGCGCATGATGACCGAAAGCGTGTGTGCATGTGGGTATCATCTTCCAAGCATATCCCACACACTACCAGTAGACGAGTGCAAACATGTCAAAACGCAAGGAAATTCCGGTCCGAGCACACAAAAAGGAACTGTGAACAAGTACGAAGAAGAAAGAGTCTGCCCTGATTCAACATAACAAGATGCTGTTGGTTAACGTGAAAATGTACATAAAGGTTCCAACTTTCACTCCTATTGCAACGACATCGGACAAACTCTTCGTGGTCTGATAAAGAGTGCACGACTACTAGCGCGGCTTGTCAACCCACTAGCATTGAAATGCAGATTATTTCCCCCCAGTGGCCCTGCGGAAATCAGAAAACATTGCAAATACATGCAAGTACCACACAAAATTGAGAGCAATTGCTCAAAAACAACAAAAGCGTACGGCGGTGACGGGGCGTGACACCACAAACATGGAGGCCAGTCAGGTAGGTTCAATCAAGCTCCAAGTCAAGGAGTTCAAGGTAGAGGACCTACATTAGTAAATCCCACTAGTTGGAGACCTAGCATCCTCGACAACCTCCACAGATTGGCTCATGGCCATCTTCAGCTACATGCTCCTAGCATGTAGCAACAGTAGTCCAGGTCCATGTGGAAGAAATCCAGAGATACATCCCCCTCCCTAAGACCATTCCTCCATGGCTGATCGCTTTCAGGATCTCCGTGCTTTTGTCGGGCAGCGTTTCTCTGCCCCCAAGCGAGAAGCCATGCTTCGAGCGAAGCAACTCTGATCAACTGGCCTCGACGACCAATTCCAAAGACTCGAGGATCCTCTTTGGAACCACACGTCCTCTCAGCGCACGGCGCCAAGACTCCCCCTGAGAGTCGCGAAAAAACGCGCCCGGGGCGGTTTCGGCAGAGATGGTGGGGGGGGGCGGGGCCCGGGCGAGATGGATGCGGGTGATCCGAGGATCGTTTCGATTCATCCGAGGATCCAACTTCCATGGCGGATGGTGCATCCATGCCATGAAAGGGAGGTCACGAGTTTCTTCTAGATATGGAACTGACATGGAAGTGGAAAACCTCCTGTTTGTAGAGGAAAATGGTCATCTAAGAGGGGCCATGCCGTCCACTTCTGTTCATACCACAAAGTCGTGTATTTGCCTGGGATCTTCTGGAACAGGTCAGCGGCCTGACTTCGGAGGTAGGGGCCAGCGGCGGCATTCACGTAGATCAGGTCCTAGCCAGGCTGGCCACATGCACCGCTGTCATAAATGTTTCTTTAAAGAAGGAACCCTTCAAAGAAGAAGGTACACTAGTAGTAGGATGACAATAGATGGCACAACTCCCATTGTATTTCATTGCTGCGGCCTTTATTAAACCAATATGTTGGGAGCTGTGCTGCACCATTAATCTTTGGTGTCATGGGACAACTATATAGAAAACCAATATAATCACCCTCAAATTGACAAAATACTGTATTCTGCGAGCATATCAAAAGTAAAATCTGATTGTCAGCCTGCTCCTGCTACAAAAATATAATTCCAAACAAACCAATCCCTTGCAAGCCCAAGCTGGCCCCGACCCTGTTGACATCGATCTCACCCTCAAGCCTTAACTCTGAAAGGGTCCCAACGAGCAACAGTGCGACTGAGGGCACAGCCCTTCCCTGGGGTCTTCTCCCAATCTCAGAGGATCTCAATCTCTGCCACTCAAAAACAGTGACCTCAACTGGAATCCTGGACACCCAATCCCTTAGTGACCCCCGTAAAATGCTGAGATGCGAAGATCCATGAAAGGAATTGACACGACAAACTGCAAGCACTGCAGACTGCAAAGGGCAATACCTCCAAATCTTCCGTCCACATGAAGTACTCCCAGGTACTTTGAGGTCATCTGCTTAATCCGCAACAACCATCCACCAACCATCCACCAACCCATCTGCCCATCTGCCCAAAGCTTTGCCCCAAGCTTGGACCCTACACGGCGAACTCGTCTCCTGCCCAAAGCTTTGCTGGGTGGACCCCAAAGTTGGCCTCGAAAAAGGAAAGCACATGGTCTTGACCAGTGCCCAGGCTGCCCAGGGAGGTTGCCCTTTACCAAGCCAGAGAAGCCAGATGTGAATCCCCAAGCAAAATCCCCAAAGATTTCGGTGAAGAGATCGCTAGAGATCGCTTTCTTCCAAGACCTGCAGGTAAATGATTCGGCCTCAAGGTCGGCTTGAAAGCAGACCTGCAGCCTTAAGACCATCGAACACGTACGGCTGCAGGTCCCGTTGCAGCGAAACCTGTTCGGCGGCGAAACCTGTTCGGACGCCTGCTGAACCTCCGCAAACCCGTGGTCGATTGTAGCTGAACACATGCGAAACGGTGTCCTAATGAAAAGTATATTTGCATGCTTGACAACTTGACAATGGCTGAAGACCAAAGTAGAAAAAAATTGAAGAAAAACAGAAGTAGCTCTTGACATCTCTTGACCGATTGTCTGACGGAGACATTACCTGGTTTCTATATGTTCTCTTGTTCTGCTTTCCGCCGGTGCTGGCTTGATTGTTCCGGTTCTCTGACGTGCTGTCGGATGGCCTCGTACTTTTCACGAAGCCAGATTCGATGTACAGAAAGTCCGGGTCAAAGACGATCCTAAGGAGCGTCTGGTTCTGCTGCTTCTGTGCAAGAATTCGTACTCCAGGTGTTCCCCAGAAAATTTCACCGCCTGGAGTATGCCAAAGCATTTCAAAAATAGTTATAAAGAAAACCCTTAAAGGTTCACTTGCTTCCATCGATCATTAATCGGGGCCTGGTTGAGCTTTGCTGGTACTCGGCTGGCAACCAGATCTGAAAGTATTGGTACAAATGGATTTGAACCGTGTCCTTCTTTTAAAATATAGAAAAAATATTGGACTTCTTCGAAACTGTGGAAGTATGGCAAGTCTTATCTAGATCCGCAAGCATAGAGTGATTCCTACATTCCTACATATACATACATACATATATATATATACATGCAGTACATTTTCTTGGGCAGCTCTCATTCCCAGCGGTCCTGCCAAACCTCCTGAAAACAAAGAAAGCACGTGAGGCACCCAATGGGACCCTTGAGGCAAACGCATCTCACGCATCATCTTTGATTGCTTTGTTTCAACTGAAGAACAAAAATATAAGTCAGTGTGATCGATCATTCCAAGTAAACGTTGAACCTCAAACTATCCGAAGCCACCCAGATCACTTGCAGCTGCGGCGCTTGTAGGTGGCAGTGGACACACCTCTCCAGGTGGAACTGTAATGCCGAAGGAAGTCCACCTGGACCGAGCCGAGATCTCGGATCTGGAGGGAGAAGGCCAACCACCGCAATGGCAAGTCGCCAGGCCCCCACCCCCCGTAGCCCGGTGTCCACCCGTTTGCCCCCCCTGCGCGACCCGCACCTGGGGTCACCTGTAGGTTTTCTCAAAATGGAGCGCCAAATCACCACATCTTGCTCGAGCCAAGTCAGCCCCAAACGTGTACCAAGTACAGGATGTCCACTTCTCGAAGATGGTTCTCTGCTTTGCCCGACTTGGGTTTTCCAAGTGCGCTCTTCTTGTCAGTTCCTTGTTTCCAGCACAGGAAACGCTGGTATTTTTGAGCCACGTCAGATCGGTCGGAGCCCCCTCAATGGCATCCATGAAGCTCAGGTGCTGTGTCTTGAAGAGGATTCCATCGCAAAAGGACGGCCCGGACGTAGACGTTGGAGAGAGGGTAGCAACGACGTCATCTCTTGCGCACTTGGTCATCCACCTCTGTCGTCCTTTTTTTGATGACATGAGTGTGCCGTTCGCCGAGTGCAGGGTGGGATGACCAAGCTGGAGGAGGCTCCAAGCAAAAAGAAAGCAGTCCTAAGGGGCGCCTAAAAATGGGCCCCATAGAAGTTAAGGGGTGTCCATTATCCACCCCTTAGCGACCGGCCAGTGCGGTCGCTCCGGTCGGTGAAGTCGGGTCAACTGAGGGGTGTCCATCCCCCTGGTGTTTGGGACCCAACCGTTGATTCGACTCGCCACCCCCCTCACGAAGCGAAGGAAAAAACCCACCTCCGCAATGAAGGTGCGGCTTTCCTGCAAAAAATGGAAAAAACACCCGGGGGGGGGAAAAAAAAAAAAAAAAAAAAAAAAAACTTTTTTCGGTGTCAAGGTTTCGCTGCTCCAAAAAAAAAACTGACTGGAGGACGTGGAGCGACGTGCCGTGCAGGGCTCGAAAGTGCGGCAGATCCAAGTTCTTCGGTGCCGATCGACGGGAAACGACAAGCACGGGGTGGTTGGAGATGTCCTCCCTTCCGAAGCTGTAGGGAGTTTGCATGAGTTTGCTAGCTAAGCCCATGAAAGGGCTGGCCTTTGCCATTGCAACCTCTATTCGATGCCCGGACACAAGTGGGGGCCCTGGCATCGAACTTTGGGGGACGACCTGAACGTGTTGGACCGATCCAACCCGTCGACCGTCCTTGTTCCAATCGGTCTTCTCAAAAGGCACCCGCACCGGCGCCGGGGCGCCGTTCTCCATGGGTTCTTGACGCTCCTCCACCCGAAGCTGGCAGGGTCAGATCCAGTGGCTAGGGGTTTTCAGCTCGTGCAGGTCTGCTGTGAGAACTTCCCATGTCTTGTTCTGGGCACATCCAAAATGTGGCCCAGCTGAGGGCCCACAGGCTTGCTGGCAAACCGGCAAACCGGGGTTTGGAATCAGGGACCCCTTTCCCACCCTCTCCTTGGGCATGCGCTCGTAGGAGATATACCCACGCACCACCTGAGTTCGGAGCTGCTAGGGGTGACCGTTGCGATGATTTGACCTGCTAGGCTCGTCCTCGGATTTGGGGGTGAAAAGGAGGAACCTACTGGCCGTGTATGCAAAGTCCGGAGGGGCCTTGTGCCAAATAGCAAGTGGCACGTCGATTGGAAGAGATCCTTCTATCACTTTGAAAAGAACTGCAAGGTGGTGCTCCATAGAGGGTCTGAAGCAAATAGGGCGATGATTGGAAACACATCCTTGTAGAATGAGAGAATCTTCGAACTGTCTGTGGTTGCTTGGGTACATGGATTGGCCGCAATCCAAGAGTTCCTTCTCTTTTTCACACAGAGAAAAAACCAATGGATGGAACCCAGATCTCCATCGATCGAGCTCTCGAGGCGCCTGATCTTCTCGGAGCTCTTCGAAGTGAAAACTCCTCGGATGCCCCGAGCTCGTCGCGCTCGCTCGTCCACCCGCTCGGTACTTCGTCGGTCGAGTCGGTCGAGGTCGACACCCGCCCTGCCCAGCGAAAACAGGGGGTGAAGATGGTGAAGCAGAACCTGGACAGATGGGCCCTCCAGCAAATGACCATAGACCATCATAGACCCTGAAAGCCACTGGGTTGTACAGGATATGAGATTATCACATCTCCCTCCTTGTTCTGGAAGTGTGGCCCCAAAGAACCGGTGTAGCTCAACTGGCGAGACACCCACTGGCCCAATGGGGTTGAATCCGATCCTACTGTGTTCTTATTGATGTTCCCCTTACCAGGAGCTCTTTTCAGGATCTCCCTGCAATGCGCAGCCATATCTTCCAGGGCCCGACAAATAATATCTATTCAGGGCCAGTTTGCAGGGCTTCCATCAGCCACCCTGGTGGAGATCAACCTCCGGTGGTTCCGCTTTGGGCGGGAAGAAGGAAAGAAAATTGAGGCACTTTCACTTTCATGAAGGACAGCGTTGCCATTTAGGTTTTGTGCAACGGTGTGTCAGTTGACGGTCTAAAGAATCTCAGCACAGAAACACACCTTTTCGGATCTCGTCTGCCAAGCATCTCCACGCCAACCTCCAAGTCTTGCATAAAACCTCAGACTCGTCGCACGATTCTAAGCTCATCTCAACTCGCTCTTCTGCCGGCAAATCCTTTGAAATCACCGGTGAGTTTCTTTGCCATCTGCCAACCTGAGGAGTCCTGTGGAGGTTGTCATCAACTCAGAAAGTCCCGGTGCAAGCGCGGAGTCACCCAAACCCGAAGGCTTTGTGAGTGGAAAAGCACTCGTCCTGGGTTCTTTGGGATGGGGTTCCACGTGAGCTACGGCGAAGGCTTGGTAGAAGTTCTCTGAATATAGACTGTTGATGAATCAAACCCTGTTTGGGGAAACCTGGGATACGCCCGAAGAAACCGAGGAAACCCATCCACCAGCTCGCAACGACTTCGAGGCCGCGGAGACCTGGTGGCCAGTGCCCACTTGCGAGCACCTCTCGGCCGGGCCACTGTTCCCAAAGAGCTGCTTCGGCCGGAAGCCTTGCAGCTCTTGGTGCTTCACGTATTCCTTACCGGCAGCGTGGTGTTGCACCACGGCGCGTATTCGAATACGCCCTGGGGTCGTTGATGGCTTGGCTGCTTCGGACCGCGGAGCCGGCATGCAAACGGATTTGGTAAAACATGAAAATGTTCTAAACGGGTGGGTGTTCTTTGGGAAAAAACAACTCTTTTTGACAAGACACATCACTCTGATCATGGGGAACCTACTTTTGTGTATATGAAACCAAACGACTCGGAAACCAAAAAAGTGTGACCATCCTCCAACCCGCAATGGAAATTTGACCCGCCGCCATACAGTGTCAGAAGGGCTGGATCTCTTGAACCTTCGACGCCCGGAACGCCGTGGGCCCAAGCTGCAAAGCCATTGGGGCCTAAGAGTTTGTAGAAGACGATTCGGTCATAGCCTGGCTCGAAGTCAGGGTACTGTGGCATCTCCACCACACGAAGCTGAGTGACCTTCAATTTTGGACCAACTGCCCAAATATGGCCCCAAACTCCCATCAAAACTGGGGTCATGTCTGGGCTCTAGGTGTTCAATGGCGTGAAATAATGGCGCCATGGACGCCATGGAAGAATCTGCCAAACATGTAGACGTCTTGATGTTTAATGATTCATAACCCCACCTGTTCAATCCAAATGAGGTAGGCTCCAGGCTTACTAATCAGGAGTCTACATTCATCTCGAGTCTACAAGAATCGCCGTCACACGTGGCGACGCTGACCGAGCGATGCCGACTCCAAGGATCGGTCCCGGGCCTTACGAGGTAACAAAGGGGTCTCCATGAACCGGGGGCCCGAAAGTCCAAATGTTCTTTGCTTGCTTCTTTTCCAGGGAGGTTTGTCTCAACTTTACAACTCGCCGGACTTGGGAGCGAAAGAAAAGACCCAAGGGATTGGACTGGCATTCCCTACTACAGCACCTCGCAGTGAACATCGCCAAGGCCGCAGCAACAGCTTTTGAGACAAACTTGTAGAGCTGTCTATAGCTATGTGACCCAAAGCACAAAGATTGGAAGGCCACAAAACACAAAAGACAGCATAAAGGTACCGCCGCTAATAGTGACCCTGTGCGATTCGCACAGTGCCGAAGTGGACAGTGCTCAAAGTCTCCCTTCTTTTCACTTATTCATTTTGGAGAGGTTGGATCATATGTGCTTTCATCCCATTTTTTAGAAGAGACGGCACTTGTAACATGGAATTCAGAATGGGGAAGAGCCGAAAGTGCACTCTTTCTTTGGCGCACACGTGCTTTGGAGGTGTGTGTCCTTTACACTTGCGGCCACGTTCGGGCCAACGCCTCAAGCAAATTTCCTCTGTTGTTCCACCGAAACTGAAAACTGCGGACATATTGATCGACGCGCTTTGCGTCACGCTGTCCTAAACCTTCGCGGGTCGCCAGACAACCCCACCCCACCCCACATCAACCAACCCGACACCACCAAAAATCGCGATTTCCTCTGGGGTCGCTAGCAGCGGCGACAGCATAAACTACAATACATCGGTTGGTCGGCGGATGGTGGGCGGCCAGGCTGGGGGCCTTACCTGGCCCGCCCGCAACCCGAGGTCTCTGTCTCAAACCTTCTCCATCTACCCCGCTCTATCCGATGCTCACCAAAGCTCGCTCGACCACCTCTCCACCTGATCGCCAAGGCACGATCGTGCGGCCCCTGCAACTTGCGCCAGGTGATCTGCGGCATCTCTGTATCCGTCGTCGTCTCGGCTCGTGGGCGAGACGAAGCACGCAGTGCACGTGGGCGTTGCAGCGATCTCCAGACCCAATTTGGGCGTTGGATGGAAAAGGGACGACCAGACCTCTTGGGTCTCCCGGTTAGTTGGAGAGTTCCCCCTCTTTTAATGCTTCGTGCCGTGGAGGAGGACGATCTGCTACACCTCTCAGTCTTACCTGTGCATGCTAGAACACCACTCATTCTCCAACCTTCGAAAACCAGGTCTTTTTCAAGCAAGCCCTTTTTCCCACTCGTCTCTAAGGCCACTCTCTTTTTGGCTATCCTATGTACATTAAGGCGCAGGCACAAAACGTTTTTTAATTGTGTGGAAGAACTGTACCGGATCATGATGCATTCTTAGACCACCAGCCCCCCTTCAGCTCGCTTCCTTCCATTTCAAGCCACCCACAGCAGGCAGTCCCCCTCTGCCAGCGCCGTTGGAGGCATCTGACAGGTCTGCACCACGCCCAGCCCCCGCCAGACAAAGCAAGGCTTCGAGGGGTCCGTCAGAGTCAGCCAGTAGCGCGAACCCCTGAGGCTGGCACCAAGCTATGAGGCTCGTCACTTCATAAGGTTTCACAGGTATAACCATATATAACCCATCAGGCATGCTGGGGGGGGACTTCCTCTAGTTGCACTGCTTGTAACAAGGGATACAGTTACTTAGTTACTATAGAATGAACCACTGAACCACCAAGAAGAAGCTTCCTGTCCACCTTTCTGGAGCGTTTGGACGAGTCCGGTGCCCGTGTTGCTGGCGACGCAAAGGGAGCGCAAGGACTTAGGAGGCAGGGCGAGGATTTGGGAGGAAGTTATGTACAGGGAGAGGCCACCGCTATTAGGTTGGAGATGACTCTTACCCAGAGGTTTGTCGGCCTCCTCAGGGTCCGTCATCTGACAATTTTTGTGAGATTGAAGGGACCCAACATTAAGGGAAAGCAAAAAAGAACAAGATAAAGGAAGCCTTCCTGGTGTGGGAGGTTGCCGCAATCTCTGTTGACTATGTTCCACAGGTGTGTGAGATAACAAGATCTATACAGTAACTTGTCCGCGACAGCTCATGATGGCAAAGAGCTCAAGCCACCAGATTGATGTCCTCCCAACCATTTCCAACCCCAAAATCCTCATTCACCCTCGCATCCCCCATCCAGCCTCATCTCCCACATTCCACCCTGGACTCGGATCACCACCGGACTCCGCCCGCTCTCGGACGGGTACTCCACACGCCAAAGCCCATCCAGCAAACAGGCGTTCTTGTGGCTGCGGAGCTTCATCACCCCGGTGGTCACATACCTCACACCACGCCCAGCAGGCTTGACAACGTGCCGGGAACCCCCTTCACTCCTTGGGAATCGAAGTGGATGGCACCACCGGGTTGTAGAGGATTTCATGGTCATCCGACGCAACGGGCCATCGCCATGGTCGTGTAGGTTTTGGTGCAAAAACGCATGGTAGACACCCCGATTCACTGATGATGGAAGTGGAATGAAGTGGAGAACCACCTGTTTATAGCAGGACATCGTTTTCCTGCATGTTCCCATTTTATGTTGCTTGGATTTTAGTCTACGGTGGTTAGCGATCTAGAATAGACAAGTGTGTGTGTGTGTATATATATATATACTGTATATATATATATATTATATATATATATATATTAGTCTATCATTATTATTACCATATTAGTTTTTGTTATTGTTATATAGTAGTATCAGTATATTAAGGACATTCTTGGACATGCTGCGATGATCCGTAAGATTGTCTTGCAGGTCTCCCCAGCCCCCACAAGTCCCCCACGGGTACAACCCTAGATCAAACCGGGGAAAAAACGGGGAGTCAAACCCGTCTAAGAGCGGGTCAAAGCTCAGAATCCGGCAAAACCAGGTCAAAATCCTCTCCAAGAGGCGTGAAGTCCGCTGAGAACTGCATGACCACACGCCAGCGCTCCGCCCCGTACCAGGTGTCGGGGGACCAGGTGAGCTCCCCATGGAAGGTTCCTGCAGCTCAAACCGCACCATGTTCGTCTTAAAAACCGGGAGAAGATTGGTGCAAAGAGATGTTTTCTGGCCTAAGAATTCGGTTTCGACTCGGGACACAAATTGAAGAGAAACAACGTTCGACACGATGTTGGTCCATTCGTAGATTCATTCGTGATCTTCCCTTTTTGCCCTGTTCAATGTTTGTGTTCCCCAAAACCTGGAATGCTTCCGACGGAAGATTCCCTGCCCTGGCTTGCATGTGTTTCACTTGTCCCTATCCTTTCGAAGATTCACCACAAATCCTCTGCTTCCATGCTTGTCTCACGGAGTGCAAACGTAAACACCATTGCCCAAAACATCCACTCTTAAACGGATCTTCCAGTTCGGGTGAAAATAAGAAAAGGATAGAAAAGGATTTGAAAAGGGGAAGTCAACAGCTTCTGCCCATGACCAAGGGGAAAGTCAAACGCTTGAATCCCAGCCCAATTCCCCCCAACAGTTGCATGGCAACACACACAAGATCGCGACCCAAACTCCAGTGTTGAAGACCAAGGGTGAGGGGAGCTCCACTTTTCAGGGGGTACTGCAAAGAACCCCCACCTTCCATGTTTGCAGCTCCACTTTTCAGGTGCGAGGCCCCCAAGAATCCATGCTTCTTGGTCGACACGTCGCTCAGATTGGTGATCCGAACTTGGGACCATGCCACGTAACCATGATATTTCCAGGGAGTGCACTCACCAAGCATCTAGTTGGTCTAGTCATCGCAGTTGCTGCAGAGATGTTCCATGGGGATGGAAGGCCCGCTTTCGGCGTTCTGTTCTGCATCGGTGTCACCGGTTTGTGCCAAGCATCGGCTGCCCTCGTGCCAGAAGGTCTTTTCCAAGAACCTCAGCCACGCTGTGTCGAACATGTGTGTCGTGACGAGGCCACTGATCAAGACCTGGTCCAGCGACCACGCGTGACTGCACTGAAAAGGCTCACCAATGAGTTTGGGAACTCTTTTGAGCCATACAAATTCGCCAGAAATCAACACCCTTTATCTGGAGTTCAACACCTCGCTGTCTTCAGTCGAGACGACCCGCCGGTTTGAGACCACTCAACTTGCGGACCTTATTAGGCCTTGGAGCACACAGACCCCAGCTGGCAGCGGAGTTCTCGGTAATCTTTGTCAAAAATGCAGTAACACTGCAGTACTGCAGTAGAAGCTCACTAAATGGAGCTCGACAGCCAAGGTACTCATTGAGTGACGTCCATCTAGGAGGCCCCACCGCTTCACACAATCTGATCTCTATGCCGCTATGCCCTCATGGAACCTGAAAACCGCCCCCGGTCATGTGGGTCTCGGAACCCAGCTGTATTACCTCTCTTCCCACTTGGACTTCTCAGCTCGAGGCACTGCCGCTCGGGTGGGCGAGTCCCATTGTCCAAGACCAGTCCAGCCCAGCGACATCTCATGGAGCTATGGCCTGACGGACGGCCCCAGTAGCTTTAGGGCTGAAACACGGTGGGTGGCACAGTTTGGGTGTTGGGCGAACTCGCACCAAAAACGACTTCCATCAAACGAACGCATGATTGGTGGAACTGGTTCTGACCCACCATCTTATGTTGAGACCTGACATATCCTTTTGAACAACTGGCAACCCACATCTCATTGGAGGGAAGCCCATGCCAAGGCCTCCAATGTTCTTCCCAAATCAATCTGGTCAATCTTTGCAAGAGTTTCAGCTAACTGGTTCCCCAACCAAACATCGATTCTTCTAGTTTCTCAGTGTCCGACTTTAGGCATCAAGTTCCCCCATGGCCCCGCGTCCAATGTTGCTACAGCTTGGGTGCATTTGAAGACTCGATGTACAAAAAAAAAAAAAACATCATATACACATGAATCATGAAGCCATACATCGCCCTCGTAACTACTGAAGGCCAAGTTACTAATGTAAGCTGTGGTCCCTTCGAAGTGGAAGGACGCAAAGCCCACCTGGCTCTGCCAGAGTGAGTGGCTTTGCAGGAACAATCAAGACATTCTTTGCTTTGCTTTCTGGGTCTTGGAACCTCTTGGAATCAAACCGAGCCACATGGTTTCGTGAGCCACATGAACTACCAGGGGGGTTGGGCATGGGTGCATCATCTGCACGCAGGCAAGTGTACGACCCACCAAGCAAAAACAAGCAGAACTTCTTTTTTGAGGTCAACTCCAAAGGTAGTTTTCAAGGTAGCTCAAGATCATCAAAGGAGAAGAACACCTCCAACCGAAGAAATAACAGAATGCATCGACATCGTTCGATTCGACAAAAGGATCTTTTTGCAATTGGTTTCGGGGACCGCGCACTGCCTACGCACCTCACCGTGGCTCCGGAGGACGAAGACACTGCCCTCGAGCGCGGACAGGTCGGCGCTCAAGAAGTGGATCCTGGAGGAGCGGCAAAATTGGTCTCAGTGTCGCTTCGTACTGGGAGATGGAGCGATGGATGTTGGAAACGGAAACGGGCGAACTCAGCGGCTCTCGTGACGTGTCGTGCGAATGTCCGGAACTTCGAATGTCTGTTTCGATGGGTGACTTCTGGGAGAACAGGAAGCTACTAGGGGCTCCTGGCATCGCTACTAGGAGCAAGAAGCTACTAGTAACAATGACCTCTGGTGACGGATCGGTGGGGCGGTTTCATGCGATGTCCACGTCCACGTCTTCCATGTGTCACGAGTGGCCTCTGTCCCGTGGTGGCCATCTGCAGTGAGAACAAGCTCACCGTCTGCCGGCAAATTGGGCATGGCCTCTCCTGAGATGGAACGGCTGGAGGGATGTTCGAGGGATCTTTTTACCGAACGACCCTTTACCGAGGGGGTAAAGGCTCAGTGGAATCAGGACGACGATTAAAAGCTGAAGAGGATTCCACTGCCTTCCAAGGCCATTCAAAACGGCTTAAGCTGGTTTGCCGGGGGTTGAAAAACCTTGGTAAAACCATGGTTGTTCGGTAAGGGCTAAATCAATGGCGGTTGGAAGCTTACGGATCTAGTGATGGTGTAGTAGAGTGAAAAAAACACGAAGTCCAAGAAAACAAACGTTCCAAAAGAAAAAACACATATATATTATATATATATATAATACAGTGTGTGTTTCCCCTCCACCGGCATCGTGCTCTGCACCGGGGCACGGTCGGGTCACCGGTCTGGCAGGCGGCCAGCGCGCGTTCGATACATTCACGGCAGAAGGTGTGGCCACAGGGCGTGACCACCCGGCAGTCCTTAGAGCAGACCACGGAGCAGCACCGGATTTGGGTGCGGATGATGCTTCCCACTATGGTGCAGGCCATATTTGTGCCAAGCCTCCTGGACACACGCAGTTCATGTCCTTCCCTCAACCCTTGAGGGTTGCAAGGACAAAGGAATGTACACATCAAGAACCTCTTAAAAAAAAGGCAAGTGACAACCCTCGGCGTGCCTGGAAGATTGGGAGAGCTAGTTTGCCATCTACTCTGAAACCGCTGTACTTATATGAGCTGCTTCCGTTCGGCGTCATCTCTCTGGACAACCCTACACTTGTGCAACGCAACGCTATCGCAGGGGGAGCGTGGGCATCTCTTTCACATGCCCCAAGAAGTTAGGCCGTTGGGCATGAGCTCTACGACCATACAACAAAACCGCTCCACACCGGTTCCAAAGGAATACACCAAAGGGACTTCTTGGGGCAAGCTCCAAGGAACTCCCCGCAAGAAACTTCCCACAAAGAGGCACATGTTCGAACTCCTTCCAGGGAGAAGTCACACCAGTCACGCGCAGAGGCGGTTCTTTGTTCAGCCCAAGGCGCAGCCTCCTGTTCGTCAAAGACCGCGAAGCAAATGGGACACTGATGATCCTGCCGTGCACCAAAACGGACACACTCTGGACACCGGCGACCCCCGTTGGGGAGCATTACCACGCCCCCAATTCTTCGCCCCATCGGGATCAGAACACTTGGGGGTCGATGTTCACCGTGGGCGGTGGACGAATGAGAAAGGAGAAGACGGAGATGTAGAACCATCCTGGGCTTGGCGGGTAGAACATGAATCAACCGTCTATGTTGACCAATACCACTGGGGTGACTGAGTGAAGCGGCAATGTTTTTGATCCGCTGCCGAAAGGTCCTCCTCGCGGCAGCAGTACTCGCGGAACTCCTTTTCGCAGTGTTCCAGCTTTTTCACCTCTTCCGCCTCACACCAGCAGAGCCTCAGGGCAGCAACTTCAGCTGCTGTTGGCAAATTCCAGGAAACACAATGAGGGCATCTGTTCTAGGAGACCCTGCCCTTGAGAACCTCTTGGCCCCTCAGCACTGTGCATGAACAACTCTTCGGGGTTGAGGCTGTCGTTAAAGCATGTGGGTGCCTTTTCCAACATGCGATGTTTGACCAATGAAGGTGGAAACTGGAAACCAAACAAATACTTAGTTTGTTCTGGGTCAATCCCTGGCTTAAAAAGAATGGCAAATGATTTCTGGACACAACAGAAGTTTCATCGAGTTTCTCAGCCACCGAGCCCCGAGCTCGGCCACAAGAAAATGCCACCAATGCCACAAAAAAAAATAGAATATCGGAAGCCACTGCTTCAGCTCTCTGCAGCTTTAAGTGCTCTCTCCACACGTGTTTTTTTCATAGGAGACCTCCCAGGCAACGACCCCCTTCTTCGGGAAAAGCGACCCGTCTACCCAGCCAAAGCTATCGGGTCTTCCGAAATTTCAACACCACCACATTGTCTGTCTTTACCCAAATCCCAACATCCTTCCGTGGGTGCCACGGTGCTCAGGATCAAGGCCATCATCAAACCTCACCAGGAAGGGCAGCTGCCTCGGTCCACGGACACGTGCTCGAACATGCCTCCGTTTGCGGAAAGCGTGTTCCACGGTGAAGAATTTTGCATTCAAAAGGTTCAGCTGGCTCACCTGCATAGATGATATGGCAAATACATACGATATTAGATAGTAAAATATTATCTAGGTGAGATGGCTTTCCACTATGAATGAGTTTTTGGGGTACTTCCACACAACTTGGACACTTCAATGCTTCTGCGCTGCTTAAGCAAACACACGGGACACCGTCACAGCCATCACAGGAAGCTCTGAGAGTCCTGGCAGTCGTTGGCTACGCACTCCACCTCTCTTGGTCAATCTCTGGTCTCAGTCCATGTTTCCAAGTGGCTGCTCTTGGTCATCTGCAAAGATGTGCCCCACACGGATGGTGTTGAGCCGGTTGACCAGCACAATGTCTCCCACTCTGGGCCGGATCAAGGCCGTTCCCATTGCGCCATGGCCGTTTTCAGGGCAAAGAGAAGTCGGCGAACGAAAGGCTTAGGATGCTCTCCCAGATGCTGAGTCACAGCTCAAACCAAAGCCTAATTAGCTTTGCTCCTAGTAACGTCCGATCGCTCCGTTCGTAGCGATGCCAGGAGCCCCTAGTAGCGAACATGGTTCCTTTGGGTGAAGCCGTGAAGTAATGAATGTGCAGAATGCTCTCTGACCAAGGTTTGGACGTAGCTTTGACCCTCAGAGGCGATCTGAAGCACCTAAAAGAGAAGAAACACTGGAAGATCTGCATCCTCTATGAGGTCTCCAAATCTGTTCGGATCATCTCACCATGGCCTCCCACTGGTGAGGCATTCAGATCTGCATGTTCGCGCTGATTTCGCGCATTTCATCTGTTCACCGGACTCACCTGTCGCAGACCTCATGTGGACCTCATGCTGTTGCTACAAATGTCCGGAATTCTCACCGTCTCGATCCAAGAGGCCATTCTATCCGAGAGTCCATGCTATCAATGAAAGCCCGTCTTGAAATGATCGAATCTTCTGAGAGAGTCGTCTGCCATTCCTCCTTCCCGAGTCCACCTGACCACCTTAGGACCTCGAGCCAAGAAGCGAAGCGGCGGATGTGGAGCGAAGCGACGAAGGATGTGGAGAGCCTCCAAAACATAGGACTCGTGGTGGAAAGCTGGCAGTGATCTGCTGATGAGCTCAGGATATACCAGGCTCAGACTTTGGTCCTGGTGAGTCTCGGACTCGTTGGAACATGAACATCAAGCAGTGAAAGTACTGCCGATATGGTGTGGAAAGCCAGTCTGATCCACCTGTTGTGCAGCAAGTTGATTCGCCTGTTGGACGTGTGGAGGCCAGATGAACTGAAGCAATCGAACGATGCTATGCTCTACATTATGCACCCATATGGCTCTGGGTCAAATCCCGCAAGGGGGGCCAGGTTTTTTGGACCGCGGAAGATGAGTAGATTGATTACCAGCCAGGTCAAGCTACCAGGCTTTTTACGGCTGCCGGTGACCCACAGCCATCTCTGCGTGTTTTCTTTCTTCAGAGGACAGGGATTCTCCAACGGACACCCCGTGCGGGCCGTGAAAAGCCAATGCGTACCAGCATATAGAATCTAGAACCTACTTGGCCCCTGTTTTGATAGGAAGCTTGACCATATTTTAGATGGTTGGTTACCGGTTGGTGGTCCAAAATCATAGGGGTCACTCAGGGCCTGGGAGTTTAGAAGGATTGCACACTGCTGATCATGAACACAGACATGGAACGCACCTCCCAAAGGAGCCATGTTCCATGCCTAGGGTCTATGTGAATGTCTAGCAGTATCCCACAGCACAAATGGTCCATTGGATAGGAAGAAACTGGACGCTTGCTTGAATACAACCTTTGCACTGTCCTTTCCAAATTGCCTTCAGTAGCTTGGCTGGTTGGTTCGTTGGTTGAATGGAAGAACCTGGCTGCCCATAAAAGAGCATCCCTTCTGCAAATCTCTCGAAGCAACATGTAATTTACTTCTACAAATCCCTGCCCAGAACAAACAACGGCGTACCTATTTTGGTGTTGAACCTCTTCATCGTTGGAATCCAAGAAAAATCTCCTCTTCACCTACTCGCATACACCACACGTCCATCTCTGAGTGGGTTCCTCCCAGTTCACACTAAGCCCCTGAATCTCTTTCAGGCTTCCACCAACAAGTACCACCCCATGTTATCTTCCTCCTATTCACCCTCACCTGCATCCCGATTCCACCGCAGGCGATGCACTTGTTCCTAGTAACGATGCCCTTGTTACTAGTAGCGTCCGATCGCTCCGTTCGTAGCGATGCCAGGAGCTACTAGTAGCGATGCACTTGTTGCGCCTGGGAGGTGAGCAGCACTTTCCATGCTCACCTCAGCCCGGCTCCGCTCGAGGGACTCGGATCGGTCAAGGGAGTCGGACTGGGTCTTTCGCCGGCCAGCGGGCATCGGTTCGGCCACCCGAAGACAGGAAGCAAATGGAAACTGGGACCAATGGCCTATTTGAGGTATTCCTACTTTTCCATCCCCGTTCAGGTGCAGGGGTCGGGAATTCAATTGGCGTACGTTTGCAAGTCTTTCTCTTCCTGTCCAGTTTCATGGTCTTCACCAGCTACGGTGGAGCCGCTATCCAGGCATAGAAAAGGGGATAGATCCTGAGAAAAGGATGAAAAGGCGATGCGGTTTGTCAGGACAAGGAATCGTCAATCATCCCAGCCTTTGAACTGCATGAAGAACTTGAAAGAACGCCTGTAAAGCTAATGTAGAATCTTGATCAATTAAGGCCCCCCCCGTTTGAATTGTAAAACCTCTTCCACCTCCCGCACACACAACGAGTCAGAGCAAAGTTGTGTACAGTGCCGGCTTCGTTCAGCACGACAAGGGCAACCTAAATGAAAAAGGGATCAGCGAAGCACGGCTAAATGAAGGTCAAGTGGTACGACTCGCCTTGGAGACACGTAAGGGGAGATTGCTACCAGCGCTTCCAGAGAATGACTGGCAGCAATGTAGAGGCTTTGTGGTCGGGTTGAAATGGAAAGACCAGGCTGCCAGGTTTCTTATGCTGAGCTTTCCATCTTCTTTATCTTGCAAGGTTTTCGGCTGGAAGCCTTTGAGGATGAGCATTTCACATTCCGTTGGTTGTTCACCAAGATTAAGTCTTGGTTTGGCATTTTGGTCGAGATGGTTCGTATGTTGCTTTCCCTGGGAAACACTCTGCGCATAGTAACCATGCCTGGGGGAAGACGATGCCCAGCAGATCTGTGCTTGAATGTTTCCATGTGTTTCCAGAGGCAGTCCACTTTGCAGGAGCGGAAAGTGGGAATGTCTCTGACACTGACCACCTGTAGTCGTCTTCCAAAGAATCCCAAGCAAGTTTGGGGAACTGCACCCTCTTCATATGAGGGGACTTTATTGATCTAGATCCTACATTATCATTGTTTAGCAGCAGCATTCTTTGGCATGTTTGGTTTTTGACACCGCGGACCCTCTCCCAACACCAGAAGTGCTTGCCCTTCACCTGTCTTCTTTTGGGTCTGGTGACTTTCACACAGACCACCCATCTGCTCAGCATGAGGTGATGCTTCCCCTTCAGAAAGAAGTCATCTGAAAACAAGATCAGTCTTCCTCGAATCCAAGGCCTTTCCAAAGTCCCTAGCAGTTCTGCAGCAGGAAATCTGATCAAAACAGACTCCAAACCTCTCTGATGCCTTTCGCCTCCCATTATTCAAAACACCGGAACCTCGTTGGACCCTTTCAACCACTGGAACCCCTCCGTTCCGTGCACCGCTCAGTACTACGGCCCAAGAAACCGTGCACGGAGCGGAACCGCCTCATGTAGAGGTGGACGTCCGCCCCGGCTCTGGGGGAGCCCGAATCACTGACCGATTAGTGAGGTGTTTGGGCCAGCCCGGCGGACGGGAGCCGATCCGTGTGGGTGCAACAAGAACGACCCGGACACTGGAAGCAACCCAATGACTCAACCCAATGGCTCAAGAGAACAGACACTCTCTGAAACAATCATGAAAGTGGAAAATGACTGCAGAATGCCCCTGGAAAGACCATGAAATCCTCTACAAACAGGAGACGGTCCACCAAACCATGTTTGTTGGAAGGGGGGGTTAACAGGTCTTCTTCTCCGCAAAGCCCTGCTCGAATCGGCAGGTGGGCTGTGGGATCTTCAAGGTAGCCCAAAGCACGCGAGGCTCAAAGCATGACCAGATTGAGGACATCATGCATTGCATGGCATCTTGGAGAATCCGCGGGAAGGTGCTCAGACATCCATCCAATCAAAACCCCCCCCAAAGCCCCTACCAAACCCTGGGTTCAGTGTTCACATCCCCTACCAAATTTGTCCACCATTTTACCAGCTATGATGGCAGGGATGTTCAGTATCATCGAACTCTCCGATCAGCCCATGAATCAATTTTGGCACGAATCAGCGCGAATCCCGCGCTTTCTCTCAGCTCCTCAAAAACTCGGGGTTGGTCACTCTGATTCTTGTTGACAGCATTTTGGGCTGGTTGCCGTTTCTCTTTCACAAGTAAACATATTGGTTTATCTTGGCAACGCAGACAAGGCGCAAGGCTCTTTTCGTCAGCCCGCCAAATGTACAAATGAGACTGAGCCATTGACTCAACGTGGCAGAAGAAACCTTGGAAGCTAGTCGCCGATGCCGATATTTCATTGACCAGGCTATAAACACTTTCCTCAGAAGCCTGTCCGGTCCCCACGCTTCAAACTTTCTGCCCGATGTTCAGGTGAAACTTGAAACTTGCTGTTCTGGAAGACTGTTTAAGTTTACCTCTGCCAACGGTTTCCTTATATAAGTTTGTGAAGCTACCTCGGTCAGTTCCGCCAAAAATGCTCGGCTCGCTTCTCGCCAAGCACAGGGTCCAGTGAGCCGGCGCCGGCTACAGCTGTGTAGAGAAGATGGAGACTTCGCGAAACGTTTCGATATGCCACGTTCCAATATGTTGCAATCTGACCCAGGAAGTATGGGAGTAGAGAACACTTGAGTTGCCCCACCTCAGGATAGAAAACATGAAACAAAACACCTCGTGAATCCGTAACCGTTCTTAGGACATGCCCCAGATCTGTTTGAAACTTGTTGAGCAGAAAAAACCGGCTCCTTCCACCGGCGCTAAAACATGTTCTCCCAGCTCGGGCAGGGTACTTGGTCCTTCCAGGGTCATTCTTTGACAAATGAGGCGACCCACAAGCGAAGACACCCAAGAAAAATCCCCTCTCAAAAGACCAATACAGAACCCAAAAACCCTAAAAGATTATCCCCCATCGAATTCGACCTCGAACCCGGGCTGTCCTATTCTTTAGGAACCCAGGCTGGCAGGTAGTCAGAGGTAACTAAAAAATCACAAACCTTGGAGCCACAAAACCTAAAGAATCAATGGAAAACATGCTTCTTTAAAGAATAGACACTGACCTTCAAAAAAATCAAAAACCTAAAGAATCAGTACACCCGGGCTCGAGTCGAATTTGCCATTTGAGATGTATCTTCAAGCACGCTCCTCTTTTCTCTGTCCATCGGCTGCCCAAGTGTCTTTAAAGATGTTGATCCATAGTTCTTCTCTAAAGAATCAGGGTCCACCTACCCACCTGTAAAGAATTTCAACCCCCACCTTCACAGTGGTCCTTTCCACCCTGCTTTTCATACTGATTTCATTCTTTAAGACAACCCGGGTTGTCCTATTCTTTAGAGGAAATTCGCACAGGGATAAAAGATTTGTGTCTTCTATTTGTGTCTCCCTTTTTGTTTTGTCCCAAGAAAAGTTGCAACAGGTCGTAAATCCACCTATTGGATCTTATTGGGCAAACAAGAGGAAGCCACATTTTTGGATTGCTCCGGTGTCCTTCGCGCGCGCGCGAAGTTCATCAAAACGCCTCGGCCTCCGTCGGTCGGCCGGTCCGTCTCACCGAGTTGCCGGGAGCGGGGAGGGCGACGGACATGTGGGGCCTAGTAAAATCGAGCGGGCCTTTTCCTTGGTGGATTGAACCTAAAAACACCTGGTACATCCAGTTCAATCAACCAAATGAATAGAGGCTTGGTCCCTTGATCCTCTTCAGGACCATCGTTGGTCCGTCTCCATCCTCTCCTCCCGTCGTGATCGTCCACGCTGTTTGAGGTCGCACTATGGGGAAGCCACTCATCAAAGGCCAATCGACATGGACAGTGGTCTTAAGAAGAAACGATGAGGAATCATCAGCAGATTGGCCTAATTGAGGCACGGACAGTGGTCTAATCGGTCACATTGCCGGCATTCTCCCAAAAATCTGGGGTTCTTCCATTGTCAAGTATCGAAGTTCATGACCTGCACCTATTCTCTTTAGAGTGATCCTTTTTTCAGGTTCGCTCCCTGCAAGTATCGAAGGTCTCCGACCAGTTCTGGCAAGTGCGGTCGGACGCTCTCGTACTTGGGAAAGGTGGTACGGTTGAGTCGCTACGCTCCCTGGAATTGGCATGACGGAGGGCATGGGCCCCGAAAGACTCGGATGGCCATCTTCCGGATACCCCAACAGGTGGTGAACTCCACTCCTCGTCCATGGATGGATTCCAGGGAGTGTAAGTCCTTCCAGCAGTGCTGAAGTCCTACGTGCTTTGTCTTCCTCCCAGCATGGCGCCCTCAGTCCATCCAGCGTCCGATCGGACGCTCAGGCGGAGAGGCGTCGGCCTTAAAAAGACATCGTCCAGCAGCTTCCTTATGGGCCCAATTTATGGGGTCTCCTGACCTAATGTAGAGGTCGTCCAGCACCTTCCTTATAGGTCGCAATATGGGGTCACCCTACTGCACGACCTAGATTACGTGGATCTCCCATGTTTCACACCCCCAGTTGCAGCGTCTCCCGAGGACCTTTTATCTAACAGGCCGTCCACTTCACTTTTCTGTTTGTTGCACAGAGGTCATTGGATTTGCGAAAGATCTGCCAAAAGCCACACTGTCCTAAATACTCTACCAGGAGTTCCAAAGGATAATGAGCACCCGGGTCCCTCCCCATTAAGCCTTTAAAACTGTTTGTTTGGTCTCAAGGGTTTGCAGACTGGTCGTAAACCTAGACGACTTGATCGCGGCCAATCTCGCCGGTTGATCTCCTGAAAGTGAAGTGTCAGACTTGAAGTCTTTCCAATCATTTGCGAGCAGACGACATTGGAGCCCTCAAAGGGGTGGGGACAATGTCACCTCATAGTTTGGGGGTCGACCTATTCTGAAACCTACTGTTCTATGTGTATATATACATATGTATATATATAGTGTGGAATTCACAGTTGGTAGCAACAACTTGCAAACAGCGCACCTTG